GTTTTTAACATGTTGCCATATTTGCTTTCTCTCACATCCTCCTACACTCTCTTTTTTTCTCTTTTCTCACACACACTCACAAATTCACATAGAAAGTAAGTCACAAACATAGCTTATCATCTCTAAATACTTCAGTATGTATTTCCTAAGAAGATATTCTCTACCTAACCAAAGTACGATTATCACACTCAAGAAGTTTTTAATTGATATAATATCATCTAATATAGTCTATATTTATATTTTTCTCAATTGTCCCAGAAATGTTCTTTCTAGCCTTTTTTTAAAAAAAAAAATCTAGCATCTTCTCAAGATTCATTCACTGCATTTAATTGTTGTAAGAATTGTAGGAATAGCCACCCGTCTCTGCCTCTTTTGACTTTCCTGTTACTGATATTCTTTAAATGACCAGAGACTACTTTTCTTGTAGAATGTCTCACAGTCCAGATTTTACCTGATCTTTTTTTTAATGTTTATGCTATTGCTTAACATATTTGACAGGAAAACTAACAAAGGAAATGTAGTCTTTGTATTTCATCACATGTGGAGGCATGTAACATCAGTTTGTCCAACTATTAAAGATTCTCAGTTTGATCAGTTGGATAAGGTCATATTCACTATACTTTTTCATTACAAAAGTACCTTTTCTCCTTGTTATTTAGGGAAAATGTGGGGTGGAGGATGATACTTTGAGACCATGTGAGTATCATTCTCAAGCAACCTTTCTTATGGTTTTGTCCTCCATGATCCTTGCCTAACTCAACTAGGGACAGCAAAATGGTGATTACCTAATTTTGCCCTTACGTCTACTTTTATTAACTGACTTTCTCCTGTAAAGAAAAGCCTTCCTCCCTTCACTTTTTTTTTAAAGTATTACTGTGGACTCTGAGATTATCTTTTTATTTAATATGCTGTAGTCCACTATTGTCGTTATTCTTTTTGATGTTTGTGTTTTCCCAAAGTTGGCCAGTGGAAGCCCCTTTGGGCCAGCTTCTCTATCATTTTGACATGTCTGCATCATTCTTTGAGCAGTTCTTACCTCGCACTTTTTCTGTCCCAACATGGAATCATACATTTCTCTAGGAATCTTTGTTTCTTTTAGTAGAAAAACCAGGATCTGGACAATATGTTCATTGCTTCTACTTCAGTGGGCAAAGCTAGGTATTATATTTTTAAAATCATGAATTTCTACAGATGCCTCCAGTTAAAAGCCAGCACCACAGGGTTCTTCCTTGCCTTTCATTCTTCCATATTTACACCTCCCTCCACCACATGGACAACTCTGATTTCCACCAGCATCAGTATGTTTACTCACTTGTTCTACAGTACATAAAAAGTAGTTTTAGAGTTACACCAGTACCACTATGTACAACAAATGTAAGTTCAGAATTTTTCCGCACTTTGGACTTAGAATATATCTCATTAAGCCTATACGTATAGGCAGATCACTATATTCATAAGTTAAATTCTTTTTTTATTTTCTATGTGGTTATGTTATCAATTTAATGCACAACTAGATTCACTTATTTTTGTTTTAATTCAATTTTAAGGTGTGCTTCTTTTTCTGTTTTTAAATTTAACCTAGTGTAAAACATTTGATAGTTCAAATGTCAAAACTATATATAAAAAGATATTCTCAGGAAGTCTCCGATCTCTTTCCCTTTCACCCATCCCCTATAAACAACCATTTTCATGAGTTTCTGATTTTTTTATTCTGTTTCTTTTTTGCCAAAATAAGCAAATAGATATTTGCATATAATGGGTTCTTACACAAACTTTTTCCATAAAGAACCAAATAGTAAATTTTTTAGGTTTCTGTCACACCACTCAACTCTGCCATTGTAGCTTGAAAGCAGCAATAGACAGACTGCAAACAAATGGGCCAGGCTATGTTCCAATAAAACTTTATTTGCAAAGACAGGAAGTGAGCCAGATTTTACCTCTAGGAGTAGTTTCCTGACTCTAAGATGAGATGTAGATAGATATATTCTCATATAAAAGCATATACATAGTATACTATCAAAAAAAATTGCTCAATATTAAAGTATGTTAAAGCGGACTTTATTTAGGACCTTCACGACAGGTACAGTGACCATAAAATGGGATTTTGCAGTTGGGTAGAGAGACTGGGTTCAACTGCAAACACAGCATAGACAAATGGGAATTTGTAGCCAAGGATCAAGGATGGAAAATGACTTAGGAAATATCAGCGGTAAGGGGGATTCTGGCAAAACCGACCTACAGTGTCTTAGTGAAGAGATGCTAGGGTGATCAGACATTATCTGATGATGGAGGATAAGGAACCTTATCAGATTAGGAGAGTGATGAGTTCAGTTCTTGCTGACCTGACTTAGCAAGGTTCTTTGCTAAAACTAGATTTTGCAAGGAAGTGTTCAGATGGGTCTAGAAGAAGGTGTAAAGTTTGGTCAAGCAAAGTCTTTGTCAGATACTATGTTTATATTACTTTCCAAATTGCTTTTGTTCCCCTAACAAATAAGTCCTGAAGAGCATCACCCTCTTTTTATGACTGCATAGTATTCCATTATACAGACATATCATAATTTATTCAACTTACTAGATGCATACTGTTTTTTGGGGTTTGATTTGCTCTTTTGTTTTGTTTTGTTTTTGAGTTGGAGTCTCACTCTGTTGCCCAGGCTGGAGTACGGTGTCATGCACGTGGCCACCGCAGCCTCTACCTGCTGGGCTCAAGTGATCCTTCCACCTCAGCCTTCCAAGTAGCTGGAACCACAGGCGTGTGCCACCATGCCCGGCTAATTTTTTGATTTATTGTAGAGACGAGTTCTTGCCAAGCTGTCCAAACTGGTCTCAAACCCTTGGGCAATCCTCTCGCCTCCACCTCCCAAAGTGCTGAGATTACAGGCTCCCAACTGATACACACTGTTGTTACCAGTATTTTGCTAACACAAACAATGCTGTAGTTAATAACTTTTGCTTATGGTATATTTTTTTATATATGCAACCTATTCTGTTACCATAGTGCAAGGGTTCAAGTAAATGAAAACCTATTGAACTAAGTATGTGGTGTGGTATTTTACTTTAAAGTGATGTTTTAAATTGTAAATAATTGTATTTGTAATACAATTTAAATTGTATTATATTTAGAAAAACAAATAATCCTGAAATATATGGAGTTAACACTGAAAGTATCACTTTATGCTCCTTCACTCCCATCCCAGCCATATGTACTCCTCTCTCCCAAATTGTTAACAGTCTGATCTGTATGCTTCAAACCTTTCTTTTGTTGCACTTGCTGTTGGTTTTATCTTTCCCTACTCAACATATATGCAGGGCTTATTTATTTATTTATTTTACAAAATTTGATCGTTATAGATAATGTATTATGACTTGGTCTTTTCATTTCGTGTGTGTTTTTTATGTCCATATATATGAGTTACCTCATTCTTTGTTCTAATTGTTTGATAGTATATAATATAAATGTACCACAATTTATTTAACCTTGTTTTTACTACTGTTTAGACTGTTTTCAATTTCTCAGTATTACAGATGACTACAGTTAATATCTTGAAACATATCTTTGCATGTGCACAAGTACTTCTGTAGAATAGATTCCAGGAAATGAAATGATTAACTATTATCATTGATTTGCACTTGTTGCAGTGTCTTCCTCACATCCTTGTCAACACCAACGATTAGCAATATTTTTAATATTTGCCAATCCAATGGATTAAAAAAGAAAGCTCATCGTTTTAATTAATATTTTTGTTTACTAGTGAGATTGTTAGTTCAGGTTTGTTGGCCAGAAATTTATTCTATGTTTGTTCACATGTCTGTTGGGTTATTTTTCTTCAACGGAGCTTTGATTTATAAGTATACTCACTGTCTGGACTTTTACTGCCCAAACTCTGGGATTAAATAGATTTGGGTAAATGTTTTGACAAACCCTTGCTCTATGCAATCTGCCTTGTCTCCTTTCAAAATCAACTGATTCAGATGAAAAAGCATCCCTTGCTTTCCTAGTTTGACATCTAGATTCTGACTGTCCAAAATTAGGAACTCAAAAGATTCGGATAGAGAAGGATACTTAATATTTTCATACTAATTTGTAATCTATTTTAGACACTAGGATTTTTACATATGTGAAATTTATATAAAAATAACCTATTTCGTTAACACATTTTTAATAATTCATACTTTGTTGTTAATTTTAAATACCACCTTTATCATACCCCAGAAATTCTTTTTTTTTTTTCAAGCTGAGTCGCTCTGTTACCTACCTCAGCCTCCCAAGTAACTGAGACCATAGGTGTGCATAACCATACTTGGCTGAAAAATTTTTTTTTTTTTGTAACCACAGTGTCTCACTATGTTGCCTAGCGTGGTCCCAACTCTTGGCTTCAAGTGATCCTCCCACTTCAACTTCTCAAGGCACTGAAATTACCATAAACTATACCTAGTCTACCAAATTCTTACAAATACAAGGATCTGTTCCTCAACAACCATATTGTTTTAATGCATATTTGGGTAGCTAGATGGTAAAATTAAATAAAATATCCAGGAATAAAATATCCCTGCTTTCAGGGAGCTCACCGGAGAATGAAAGGAAAAGCTTAGGATAAAAGAAAAATAGATATGAAAGCAGATTGTGTGTATGTGTGTGTGTGTGTGTGTTTTAAGTCACTGACAGGAAAGCTTTTATATGAAGTTGTTTTCCCTAACTGACCAGGCTTTTGATCATATTGCTTATACTTTAAGGCTTAGATAATACGGTTATACTCAAATTGAGACATTCTTTGTGACCCCGAAGAGGATTCCAAATGGGATGTGGTGCAAGCAGAGGTACAGGGATGAGACCAAATGGATTATTATCTTGGGAGTTTCAGAGTGATAAGGAAAAATATCAAGAAATGGGATTAGAAAAACCTATATATCCAGTGCAAGAATTGGGGACTAGTCACTTCTGTAATGTGGAGCTGAATTGTAAATGAACAGGTATTCTGAATCTTTTTTTTTTTTCTTAGTACTGGATGAACGAATACACCTCGTCCATTGGAATTGGAGTTTTTCATTCAGGAATTGAAGTGTATGGCAGAGGTATGTATATACAGTCTAAATATACTTTTTGAAGCCTTTGTACTTTAAAGAAGTTGCAAAATCATAGCTATAGCTCTTCTTTTTTTTTTTTTTTTTAACCATTTCCATATGTTATTACAGAAAGTAGAAGAAAATCTCCCCCATTTGTTTTTACTGTGTTTTGGAAAAATACCCAACATAGAATGTACTTGGGGAGAAAGTACTCAAAATGCAAGAGTATACATTCACTTTGTTATCTTTTGTTCTAAGTACTGTGTCTTAAAAAATACTTTCCTTTTGAGATTGTTATACCATGACAGTTTGTTTGCTCTGATAGATATTGGAGTTCCAAAGAAACTTTGCACTTTGAAAAACAGCAGGGTAAAAACAACCATTTTGGATGGAAACAGGTTGGTACTAGAGAGTGTCAGACTTAAAATACCAATTTCCTGAGGGAATTTCAGTAATAAATTTGCTTTTATAGACCTATAAGTATATACTTATAAAGTTTAAAAACATTGCTGAACAAATTCTGCCATTGATTGCATCTGATGATGGCCTTTGTCATTAACTCAGTCCATTTTTGTTACCTTTAATATGATAAACATGTCAGGAGCCACTCAAACCAAGCAGTTGTGTTTTCAAGGTCTTTTTTCCTTTGTTCTAATTCCTACTCTTGATGCAAGAAAACCTACTCCTGATCAAGTTGTAACTAGTAAGACAGATCACATTGCCAATTTCATCAGGCTTGTGATAATGTATCATTTTGTATGATGTGTTACAGATTTTAAAGGGCCATTACGTTTTGAACCACATGATCATGCCTTGAGGTAGATAAGAGCATGTGGTATTTTGTCCGTTTTTCAGGTGAAGAAACTGAGGCCCAAACCTGCTGCAATTAATAATGCTAACAATTAACAGAACTAGGACTTGAGCCCGTGTGTTTTTATATAAACTCATCCTAAATCCCAGCACTTTGGTAGGCAGAGGCAAAAGATTTGGCTGAACCCAAGGGTTCAAGACTATCCTGAGCAAAACCTCATCTCTATAATCAAAAAAAGTAGCCAGGTGTGGTGACGCCCACCTGTGGTTCTAGCTATCTGGAAGGCTGAGGTGGATCGCCTGAGCTCAGCAGATCAAGGCTGCAGTGGCCATGAGTAGGCTGCTGCGTTCCAGCCTGGGTGACAGAGTGAGACTATGACTCAAAAAAAAAAAAAATCTAAAACTCACCCTACAGCAGAATTGCCTTTGCTTCAGCTTCTTTGTGACCTCTTAGAATATATTATTGCAGTTTATGCAGGGTTATCCCTAAAGATGACACACCAAATTTAGCTAATATAATGAAAAGACCCATTTACTTAAATGTGTTAGCGTGGTATTTATCTACCACCTTTTTTATATTTCTTGTTACCTGCTTCCAGGTACAGTTTAACAAGGCAAATGTGGGCTATAAAGATCTGCCATTGTGGGGAGGGGAAGGGAGATGGGATTAACGGTAATAAATATCTGTCTGGGGATGGGGAGACCTCTTATCAACAAGGGTACCTGAACGAAGCATATTTGTATACCTAACCCTTAACTGTACCCCACAATATCATAATAAAAAATATTGATTTAAAAAAAAAAAAAGATCTGCCGTTTAAGTTCCATTTTACTTGAAAGTCTGCATCTACCAAATAATCCCAAGAAACAGTGAGGGGCTCTTGCTGAAAGTTTCATGATTGGAGTATTGCTGTGGGTAGGATCGTAGTCTGTGGTGTTGCTCTTTTGGTTGATTTGACTTTTTCCAAAGTTGTGTGTATGTTTCTTTAATTTGTATGATGTATTACAGATTTTAAAGGGCCATCAAGTTTTGAACCATATGACCATGCCTTGAGGTAGATAAGAGCATGTGGCATTTTGTCCATTTTTCAGGTGAAGAAACCAAGGCCCAAACCTGCTGAAATTCATGATGCTAACAATTAACAACTAGGATTGAGCCCATATGGTTTTATATGCTAGTCCATTGCTCTGTCATCTGCCTAATCGTTGTTGCCTTTCATAAAATGATTTAGTAATAATTAGAAACATGATTCAAAATATATCCATGTAAATTTAGCAAAGCTAGAATCAAATATGTTCTAAAAGTGAATGTTTACTTCTTGAATAAAAGAATTAGTGGGTCTGTGATTTTTCTTACTATAATTGAAAAAGTTAAGAATCCAAATATAAACTTAGTCTGTCCAACTTGATCTTCTCCAATATTTTGTAAAATTCTGTCATTAAAAAATTTTCTAAATTATATTTTTTAATTGAATGATAAACTTTATCTCTCAACTACTTTGTTGCTTTTTTCTGAGAGGTCTGAATTAAAAGTAAACTTACTGTCTGCCTATTCTGTCCCATGCTTTGTTCTAAGACCTTTCAAGATTATATTTTAAATTTTTTAAGTTTTAAGATGAATTTAAACATTTGAAAATTTTAAAATATGCCCACCAAGACTTAGCCATTTAAATATCCAAGTGAGATATCAGAATTGTAAACACAAATTTTTATTTGAAGCCATTCTTTATTTTTGTTCTGGATGAGAGTTTGTATGTGATGTCACCAAAGTACAAATGGTTTCTTCCCACATAAGATTTACTATGGAGAGTGGGAGAGGGGGCGAATGAGTGGGTATATGTGCTGATTTGGCAGGTTATTTTTTTCTTGAATGAAGAAATTGAATAGTGTTTGGGGTTTGGTAATGCTTCACCCTTATTCAAAGATAAATCAAATGTCTTTATCCCAGAAACCACGAAAACTCAGTTACTAGACAGTTAGTTTCTCCAGTAAGGTTTGAGTTTGAAATTAGATAACTTTTACAAAAAATTTTTAAATCTCTTTTTGTCACTGACTTGAAACTCATTTAGAAAGTGACAAAACACTGAACATTGAATTGACCATCTGCTTAGTTTGGCATGATAGATACGTGGACAGAGCTGTCACCTTTGAGTATTAGTCACTCTCCTTTTGCCAATATAAACAAAGTAAATACAGCAGTCAAGATGACCTTTGAGTGTCTTTTGTTATACAACTTTTCAGGTCTTTTGTGAAAACTGTCCTATACTAGTAATAGCTAAATGATATTTTTGTGACAGAACTTATAAACTGAAAAATATTTAGATTGTATTGTTATTAGCCTAATCATTTACTAAAGCTAATTTAGCATTCTGGTTCAATATTATGTGATAAATACTAAAAATCATGAGTTTTCTCTTTTCAGAATTTGCTTATGGTGGCCATCCTTATCCGTTTTCTGGAATATTTGAAATTTCCCCAGGAAATGCTTCTGAACTAGGAGAAACATTTAAATTTAAGTAAGTAGGGAGGATAATTTTTATTATACTGTCTTAGATGCCAAGGATTGTTTTCAGACATACAGAATTCATTCTGTAGATTAAAACCTAAGAAGTTTAAAATGTTTCTTTAACTTTATTTTAGTTACTGATACTTTATTTTAAAATTAAATGTATTTAAGTTGTTGGGTAAAGGTGGGAATTAGCCAAATAATATGTCTGAAATAGCTTTCCATTGCTTTTATTCAGGACCCATATAAGTTATCCTGTCTACTTTTTAAATGTTTTTACCTTTGTGTAATTAAGGTTTGCCTTAAAATATCTTTTCTATCCAATGATTTCTTCCTCCCAGTATCCTGTTTGAAAAGAGGAGGAAAGGAAAGTTTTATTGTGGTCTGCCTAGCACTACTAAAACTCTCTTTGTCCCGAAAAAGACACTGCTTATGAAATAACTAAACAGTTGATTAACCTGAAACTTTTGTTAAGGTACATGTATTACATGCAGTGATAAACATAAATGTATAGCTATAACTATTCTCTGGAGTCTTATCAGCAGTAAAAAGCAGTAGAAATTCGATGTTTGTAATCAAATGTTCATTGCTTAATTAAAATTTGTATTTAAAATGACATTTAGAATCTTAGTTTCCTTTATTGTGTATGTGTCGGAGTCTTTTGCCAAGGCTGGAGTGTAGTGGCACGCTCATGGCTGCAACCTTACCTGCTGTGCTCAAGTGATCCTTCCACCTCAGCCTTTCAAGTAGCTGGAACTACAGGCATGCACCGCCACGCCCAGCTGATTTTTTTTTTTTTTTTTTTTAATTTGTAGAGATGAGGTTTTGCCAGGTTGCCCAGGCTGGTCTTGAACCTGCGGGCTTTGGCAATCCTCTAACCTCCAAAAGTACTGAGATTACAGGTGTGGGCCACCATGCCTACCCTCAATCTTAGTTTCAAGGAGCATCGAAGAAACTTCTGGGCCTATAATTGATAACTTGCCAAGTAAAAAATGGATAGTGAGTCCGGACATGTCTCAAGCCTGTAATCCCAGCACTTTGGGAGGCAGAAGCAAGAGGATTGTCTGAGCACTGGGTTCAGGACCAACCTGGGCAACGTGGTAAGAGTTCATCTCTGCAGCATATCCAAAAAAAAAAAAAATTAGCCAGGTGTGGTAGCATGTGCCTGTAGTTCCGGGTACTTGAAAGACTGAGATGGAAGGATCACCTGACCCAGCAGGTGGACGATTGGGTGGCCGTGAGTGTACCACTGAACTCCAGCCTGGGCAACAGAGTGAGACTCTGACTTTAAAAAAAAAAAAAAAATGGGTAGTGAAATGAGGTTAGAGCTACACTTTTTTAACACTACAAAAGTCATGGTTCTCTCGGCCTATCACTGAATTGAAACATTTACACACAGGAGTGCTATAATGCCACCTGAATCCACTCCTTAGGGCTCTCTTTTGGCAAGACTATTTGAGAAAAGGATTTCTAAGTACTCTCTTAGATGCCTAATCTGTATCTGACTAAAATTCCACTTTCTGTAGATTAATGTTTGTGACATTTCCAACATAATAGTTTTGGGGTTGTTTTTTGTTTGTTTTTGTCTTGAGGGATTTTTTAGATCATGCTTTTAAAAAATGTTTATTAAAGTTTGACAGTACATCTTACTGCTGCCCGGCGGCAAATAACTTAAAAGTTTGTTTGTAAGTGAAATTATGGCCAGTTTTTTAATGGCAGTTGTAATTAGGCAGGAATATTTGTAGCACAGATCTGTTCTCTAATAATATAGCTGTACAATAGTGCAAAAATAACTATAATGTTACTTTTTTATATAATGACACATTGTTTCATAAAGAAAACAACGTACGTGCTTTTATATTATTCATAAGCAGTGTGCTTAGGAGTTTATTGCAGAGAATTTAAAAATAAAATAATTGAGATTTTTAAAGCATCATTTTGTGTTTCATCTTATTATGTTAACCCTGCTTGTTAAATTGATCTCAGTATTCCTGGAAATAAGCATGTATATTCACATGCTTTTTATAAATATTTGAAATTTACACAGCTATGTTCTCATTTTTTTCTTTTTCTTTTTCCTTTTTGTTCTTCAAGAGAAGCTGTTGTTTTAGGGAGCACTGACTTCCTAGAAGATGATATAGAAAAAATTGTAGAAGAACTGGGAAAAGAATACAAAGGCAATGCTTATCATTTGATGCATAAAAACTGCAATCACTTTTCTTCAGCTTTATCAGAGGTAAATTAAGTTTTATCCTAAAAGTTTATCAAACAAATAAAATATACTACTATACTTATTATCCTATTATATTCTATCTTGTTTCATTTTTTCTAATTTTTTTGTTTTGTGTAAAATACGATATTGTATGAATGACCTTTCCAGAGTTGGTAACTTCAGAATCATCACAGTTTTAAATGGTAATTCCATTCCTTACTTTGCAATGGGTAGAGAGTGAGTGCAAATAATTGTCTCTATTATCCTGGTTTATTTTATTCTAACCGAAAGCTTTCACTTAAAAAAATTAAGTGCCTAGAGACTTCTGCTTCTTAGCCACTAAGATTTCTCTTTGCTAACTTTTATGTGCCAACCTGAATTTTTTTTCTGGCTCTTCTTAGTAAATAATTCTTCTCTTCCATCTCAATTTTATTCTGCTAACATATCACACAGGCATTTATTTGCCTTCTTAATTATTGAATCCCAAGCAGAAGATCAAAACTAGATCAAAATTAAATAATCATAAAAAGAAAATGGAAGGAAGAAATGAAAAAGATTATAAAATAAGGTCTAGAGAATTAAACAGCACTTGAAATAGCTCCCTAGTATTCTGACCCTTAGTAGATGGTTGTAGTGGCAGCATCAAGGTACCATAAAAATTGTGAAAGGTATAAAAGAGAAAATGAGTTCCTATTTCAGAGACCTCCTGTGACCAGAAATGTTTCGCTCCCTGGCCTTTTCCCTTCCCTCATGGTCTGTTACCATGCTACTCAAAGTGTATTTCATGGACCAGCAGCATTAGCATCTCCTAGGAATTTGAGAGACAAAGATTGTCCCTGCCCCACCAGAGATGTACTAGGATCAGAATCTTCATTTTAATAAGATCCCCAGGTGATTCATATGAACATAAAAGTTTGGGAAGCAACATCAGTCTAGTGGACGAATCAATACCATAGAAGTGACCTAGTGGATTTTCAGGGAAGGGGCAAGGTGATTTTGAGCTTTCTTGACCTCAGACATTACATTTGTAGGGAATGCATTCAAAGATCCATAGATTTTTTTTTTTTTTTTTTTTTTTGAGTTGGAGTCTCACTCTGTCACCCAGACTGGAGTGCAGTGGCCGCTCCCGGCCACCGCAGCCTCGACCTGCTGGGCTCCGGCGATCCTTCCGCGTCAGCTTTCCAAGGAGCTGGAACTACAGGCGCGCGCTACCACGCCCGGCTAATTTTTTATTTATTGTAGAGATGTGGTCTCGCCAAGTTGCCCAGGTGGGTCTCGAACCCGCGGGCTCAGGCAATCCACTCACCTCAGCCTCCCAAAGGTGTGGGATTACAGGCTGAGGAACCGAAATTAGTAGAGATATAGACAGCATCCTAATACAGTCTCCTTGTTTTACAGACAGCAAAACAGGCCTTGATTGGGAAAATGCCTTACCAAGGATTGTTTGTTTATTTTTTAGAGACTGGGTCTCGCTCTGTCACGCAGGCTACAGTGCAATGGTGAGATCATAGCTCATTGCAGCCTCAAACTCCTGGGCTCAAGTGATCCTTCTGCCTCGGCCTTCTGAGTAGCTGAGACTACAGGTGTGCACCACCACAACGAGTTAGTTTTTTTGTTGTTGTTATTTTTGTTTGTGTTTTTGTTTTGTAGAGACTGGGTGTTGCTATGTTGTCCAGTCTGGTCTCAAATTCCTGGCTTCAGGCAGTCCTCAGGCACCATGGCCTCCAAAGCGCTGGGATTATAGGCGTGGCCTACTTACCAAGGATTATTATGGGGAATTCAGATTAGACCCTGACTTCTTGGTCCAGTACTTGCTATACTTTATCATTACTTCCTCTGGTTCTAATTATTATTTCTCCCAAATAAATTAATAACTTTATTGAACATCCATACCACTACCTTTGCCCTGGCCTAACCCTGAAACCGTATTACAGTTGGGAGCCTAAAGAACAATTCTAAATGTCACTGGAGCCATCTTTTTAGCTATAATTTTCATGCTTATACCCATATGGATACTGCATAGTTAAAGAAACAATTATTCTCGGTGGCTCAGCCTATAATCCCAGCGCTTTGGGAGGCCAAGGCGAGTGGATTGCCTGAGCCTGCAGGTTCAAGACCTACCTGGGCAACTTGGCGAGACCTCATCTCTACAATAAATCAAAAATTAGCCTGGCGTGGTAGCACACGCCTATAGTTCTGGCTACTTGGAAAGCTGAGGCGGAAGGTTCGCCAGAGGGCAAGGCTGCGGTGGCTGGGAACATGCCACTGCACTCCAGTCTGGGCGACAAAGCGAGACTCCAACTCAAAAACGAAAAAAGAAACAATTGTTAAAGAAGTTAAGTGACTTAGCCAAGGCTACCCAGCTTGTTAGTGACAGTGCTGGATAGTAAGGGATGTAAGAAGCTGTTTTGGTAAATCTCATATATGGAAGCAAGCAAATTAATGTTAGGCACTTGAAAGAAATTTAGTAAAACTATGCTTTTATATCTTTGACAACATAGTTTGGAGATGTGTGTCGTACTACCAGTTGCAGGTAGACAAAATCGTTGGTAATTATAATTGGTTGTTGCTATACATACTCTTTTGCAACATTGTTCTAAAAATTCTAAGAATTATCAGAATTTAACATAGTGTTATCAATTCAGATGCTTCCTCTACAGTGGGGATTACCAAACTACTAGCCTGGCCTTTAAACCAACACCAGCCTGCCACCTGTTTTTGTACAGCCTGGAAGCTAAGATCGTTTTTACATTTTTTTAAGGTTTGGAAAAAATTCAAAAGAGGGATATATAATGGCATGTATAAACTATGTAAAGTTCAAATTTCAGTATTCAAAAAGTTTTATTGGAATACACCCATGCTCATTTGTTTATTTTCTTAAGAGACTGTTTTCAGGCTGCAATGACAGAGTTTAGTAGTTGTGGCAAAGACCGTATGGTCTATAAAACCCAAAATATTTACTGTTTGGCTCTTAAGAGAAAAACAGCCTCTACTCTACAAATTAGTTGCCAGCCTCTACTCTACAAATTAGTTCCATTTGAATCTTACTCAAATTGGTTTGAATAACGAGGAAACATTATTTCACAAAACAAGAAATCCAGAATGAGGCAACCTCCTTATCAATATAGTCAGTGTCTCAACTATGTTATCAGGGATCTAAGGTCTTTTCATTTCTCCAAGCTGCCATCTTTGGGATGTTAGCTCTGCCCTCAGGCTAGTTCCCTTTATAGTTTTCAGACACTGCAACAATTTTAGTACAACATCCAGAGAAAGACAGAAAATCTCTCTCTTTGGTTCTCTCTTAGAGACAGTGAAACTTTTTTCAGGAACCATCCCTCCTTCTCCCCTTCCAAAAGCAGGCTGTATTTCATCAGAATTGGGTCAAATGCCCAATTTTAAACCAGCCGCTAGCAGAAAACAAACAAAAAACAGCATTGCCATTACTAAATGCCACTGGCCTAGTCTAAAAAATGCCTTTTTAAAAATCAGTATTTTCAGCTGGGCTCAGTGGCTCAGCCTGTAATCCTGTGCCTTTGGGAGGCTGAGGTGAGTGGATTGCCTGAGCCCGCAGGTTTGAGACCCGCCTGGGCAACTTGGCGAGACCTCATCTCTACAGTAAATCAAAATGAGTTGGGCATGGTAGTGCGCACATGTAGTTCCAGCTACTTGGAAGGCTGAGGCGGAGGGATCGCCAGAGCCCAGGAGGTCGAGCCTGCAGTGACCGGGAGCGGCCACTGCACTCCAGTCTGGGTGACAGAGTGAGACTCCAACACACACACACACAAAAATCAGTATTTTCGGTGGGAAAATTTAAAACATAAAAGTAGAGAAAATAGTATAGTGAGTCCCTATATACCTATCACTTAGATTCAGAAATAATCAATTCATGATTAATCTTATTTCATGTGTAAACAACCACTCAGATGCCACCCCATCCACAGATTATTTTGAAACAAATCCCAGGTATCATTTAACTTCAGTTATAAGTATTTCACTGCGTAGCTCTAAAATGTAAAAGATTATTTTTAACATAGCCACAATACATTGTCACTCCTAAAAAAAAAGACTTTACTTTCTTAATATTTTCCAAATATATGGTGTTCAAATTTCTCTAATTGTCATAATTTTTAAATAGTACTTTGAGTCTAAATCTAAATGAAGTTCATATAACTGATTACCCTGTAGAAAAGGCAGGGTAGGTGCTTAAATCTTTCCCTTTACTTACTAGTTTTCAAAAAGTGTGTTGGTTACTGTGCAGAAAAGAATTAGCATCAAAAGCTTGAGACTCATGTCCTTAGAAAGGACTGCCTGCAAGGTTGGCCCTAAGCTGGCATCTGGGAAGTTGACCTTCAGGAGTTTCTCACCATTCCTAGAACTGACAGGGGTGGCTCTCTGTGCCTAAGTTGTTGGCACAACTGATTTGGTTTATGCTAAACACCTGCTTTCCCTCTGGGAATCCGAGATTTTGGCTGAGGGTGCCTACATGACCAGTTCCCAGCAAAAACTTTGGGTACTAAATCTATAATGAACTTTCCCGGTACACATTTCACACATGTCACACTACTCATTGCTGTGGGAATTAAGCGTGTTAAATATGACTCCGCTTAAAGCACCTGGTTTCCTCTGGACTTTGCCATATGTACATTTTCCCTTTGCTGATCTTTTAAAATATATTTTTGTTGTAGTAAGTCATGGCCATGAGTATAATATGCTAAGTCCTGCGTCCTAGCAAATCACCAAGCCTGGGCGCAGTTGCGGGGACCCTTGACTCACAGAAAAATGACACAAGGCCTATTTGAGAAAAGAAAGGATGAGGGGTGTGGGGTATGGCGAACCTTTGGCCCCCGGGTGGCTTTGGGGTCATCCATGATATGAAATAGCAGCTGAGCTGATGTCAGTTGTGACAGGTAAAGGTGACCTGTAGAATTTGAAAACAGTAGATACAACTCTGGGAAAACTGACTTGCCAGATCCCTGGTTACTTTTGGCTGGGCTGGCTAAAGCGAGGAGGCAAAAAGAAGAGCA